CCCGAGTCCCGCGTCGTCGCGCAGAGCTGACTCTGGGAGGCGTTTGGGCCCAGAGAAGTGGATCGGCCGCTTGCGCCGCATGGAGTCCGAATCGGAAAGCGGGGCTGCCGCTGACACCCCCCCACTGGAGACTCTGAGCTTCCATGGTGATGAAGAAATTATCGAGGTGGTAGAACTGGATCCCGGTCCGCCGGACCCGGGTGAGAACTGCGGCTCTTCAGGCCATGGGGCAGGAGGCTCTCACCCCTGGCCTCTGACCCCTTCCTCTTTCTCTCCTGCCCTGCTCGCTCCACTGGTCATTCCTACCCGCAACCTTCTCCCTGCCTCGTCCTCCACCCGCACACTTAGTTCTCAGGCCTGCCCGGGGGAGGGAGGGTGTCCCCTGACGCCTCCGATGGCCCTTCCCCTCACACACCCCCTTCCCGTCATCCCCTCGGTCCTCCCTTCCCACACGGTCGCCGGCCCAACCCTGGGCCTGAGACCTCGCCTCATTCTCGACCCACACATCCCCACTCCGCACCTGTCTACCTCCCCTTCCTTACTCTGTGGCCCACCCCCACCTCAGGCCACCCAGCTTGTCCACATCCCTCTTACCGCCTCTCCAGCCCCATCTTTTAACCTTCTCCCCAAAGCAGATGACCTGGCCCAGGAGATGGAAGATGTAGACTTTGAGGAAGAGGAGGAGGAGGAAGAGGGCAATGAGGAAGGCTGGGTTCTGGAACCCCAGGAAGGGGTGGTCGGCAGCATGGAGGGCCCCGACGACAGTGAGGTCACCTTTGCGTTGCACTCAGGTAGGTCTTAGGAGACCCACCTTAGGTAGTTCAGGTGGGCATTGGAGCAGCAAGAGACACAGATGGGTAAGGTGCTGGCGGGGATAGGTGAGCTGGCGCCTGGAGTCATTTGGGACACTTGGGCTGTAGTGCTCTGACTTGTGCTTACCAGTGTGTGACACTTATTTGCCTCTTTGGGTCTTAGTTTTCTTTGGAAAAGCTTTGATGAAAGTTAGTGAAAGCCACCTGAGTGTAAATTAGAGGTCACCGTACCTTTCTGGGCATATTGTGCCTAACCTTCTTGTTACTAGTTCTTATTAAGAAACCAACGACGGGATGCTGTCTTTGCTTCGTACCCAGCCTGGTGCATCCATGCTGAGTTAAAGCCTGGCCCATGTCCCCGCCTCTCATTGGTGGCATCTGGGGGTACTGAGGGGAATAGCACAGTAGTAGGGATCTGTCCTGGAGAAGGACTTGACACTTGGTGAGTGTGGGGAAGCATTTCTCTAGCAACCTGATGCTCGAAACTTAGAAGAACTTGCGTGCATCATTTGTAGCCAAAAGGGTATTTATGTTGCTTTGGGTGAAAGGGAGTGGACTTCTTGAAATTTCTGAGAGGCGGAACCTGAGGTGGAAGCCTCGTCCCCTGACTCATGGCCTGTCTCTTGAACAGCATCTGTGTTTTGCGTGAGTCTGGACCCCAAGACCAATACCTTGGCAGTGACGGGGGGTGAAGACGACAAAGCCTTCGTGTGGCGGCTCAGCGATGGGGAGCTGCTCTTTGAGTGTGCAGGTGAGGGGCTTGGGCAGAGGCGGGTGTGAGGCTGGCTTCCCTTGGAGACCTTCAGGGACTGACCGGTGGTGGTTGTGCATCCAGTAGCCCTCTGGTGACCTTAGTTTTGCGCCAGCTCTGTGCTAGGCCCCAGAGACACATAGTTGTTGTGGGTATAGAGTGGTGGGCACGAATTTGCCAAGGGAGTCCTAAGAGGAGGCAGCGATGTGGGAGTGATGGGGCAGAGGGAAGGACGTGACGATTTCAAGCAGAGGTGCAGAGTAGATAGAAGTGAGAAGATATAAGGGGCCTGGGCCGTGCTGGACTGAGTGGAGGGCCAGAGGCATCTCTTGGGGAGACCTGAGGCAGCAGTGAGTTTGGCCTGTTCTGCTGGGGGGCAACTTACTCTTTTTTTTCCCCTAGCGGTCCTTTCAGTGGGCCAGAGGAGTGTGTGCCCTAGGCACTAGGTACCCTATTTTTTTTTTCTTATATCACACTTTGCTTTGTAGGCCATAAAGATTCTGTGACTTGTGCTGGTTTCAGCCACGACTCCACCCTGGTGGCCACAGGGGACATGAGTGGCCTGTTGAAAGTGTGGCAGGTAGACACCAAGGAGGAGGTCTGGTCCTTTGAAGCGGGGGACCTGGAGGTGAGATCATCAGACTGGATGGGGGTGAGAGCTGCGGGGGGCCAGGGTGACCTCTGCTGCACCAAGCCTGCTCTGAGCAGTGTACCCAGGGCACTGCAGACATGTCCTTACCTGTTACCTGGAAAATGCCCTAAAAGCAGAGAGGCTCCAGGAGGGGGCCGGGGCAGGCTCCTAGGTGGGCTAGTGTGACCGGCCTCCCTGTGACCTGTATTTGTCCAGTGGATGGAGTGGCACCCTCGGGCACCTGTCCTCCTGGCGGGCACAGCTGACGGCAACACCTGGATGTGGAAGGTCCCAAATGGTGACTGCAAGACTTTCCAGGGCCCCAACTGCCCCGCCACCTGCGGCCGAGTCCTCCCGGATGGTGAGACCACTCCCTCGCTGTCCTTTCCTGGGCACCGAGGGTGGGACCAGGCTATGTGCCTCCCCATAGTGCCCCCGGGCCACAGCTGGAGACTGTGAGGCCTGCTCTTGGGAGTGCCAACCTCCACCCCAAGGTCTACTGCACTTCCTTTGCCCTAAACTAGGTCCCCTCTGTGCAGCCTGGGCAGCGTCTGTGCTCTCACCCCCGCCCCACCCCACCGCTGGTCCCTTGCTTGGCTCATGAGCATGCTCTCTGTTCTCCTTTCATCTGTGCTGCTGGCCCTGCAGGGAAGAGAGCTGTGGTGGGCTACGAAGATGGCACCATCAGGGTCTGGGACCTGAAGCAGGGCACCCCCATCCACGTGCTGAAAGGTATCAGGGTGAGGAGGGGGCTGAGAACCCGGGGCAGAGCCAGAGGAGGGACAGGATGAACCTTGACCCCCTGCTCCTTAGGGACTGAGGGTCACCAGGGCCCCCTGACCTGTGTCGCCACCAATCAGGATGGCAGCCTGATCCTAACTGGCTCTGTGGATTGCCAGGCCAAGCTGGTCAGTGCTACCACCGGCAAGGTGAGTGGGCCTGGAGCCGCTTGGCTCTGATTTCTGGGTTTTCTACCCTTCCTCTTGTTCCTCTCCCTCCTCTCACTGCGCTTTCTCCTCCCCTCTCTGTCGGGGTGCTGAGATTCCATCTCCTTTCTGAGCGTTCCTCTTTCCCACAGGTGGTAGGTGTTTTCAGGCCCGAGACTGTGGCCTCCCAGCCTAACCTGGGAGAAGGGGAGGAGAGCGAGTCCAATTCAGTGGAGTCCTTGGGTTTCTGCAGTGTGTGAGTGGCAGCCAAGGCCTTGACCTGCGGATGGAGGGTCTGGGGCACGCGGCCTGTGGGAGGGGCCTGGTGGGCCGCAGGGAGGGCCCGGCCCAGTGTGAACCTCCCTGGTGCTCCTGTTTGCCCAGGATGCCTCTAGCAGCTGTTGGTTACCTGGATGGGACCTTGGCCATCTATGACCTGTCTACACAGACGCTCAGGCACCAGTGTCAGCACCAGGTAGGGCAGCTGGAGCTGCAGCCTGCGGGCTATGCCATGGCCGAGGGGAAGCCCAGGCCTGGCTCCTTCCCCATGGCCTTCCCTCCCTGACCTGGTCCTGCCTCTTTTGTACCTGGCAGTCAGGCATCGTGCAGCTGCTGTGGGAGGCGGGCACCGCCGTGGTCTACACCTGCAGCCTGGATGGCATTGTTCGTCTCTGGGACGCCCGTACTGGCCGCCTGCTCACTGACTACCGGGGCCACACAGCAGAGATCCTGGATTTCGCCCTCAGCAAGTAAGTGAATCAGGCAGGCTGGGGCTGCGGTGTGTTGGGAAGGTGGAATTAGCACGTGAGGGACACAGGGTCTTTGGGCTGTTGAGTGGGACTCCCAAGGGAGCTGGGGCATGGGGCATGATGGCGGCCTCTGAAGCAGGTGCTGGGAGGCCTGAGTAATAGCCTTGACCCTCCCTGTACCCCGCCTGGTGACAGTGACTTACCTAGAGCCCCTGACCCAATTGGGTGTGTGGCAGACAGTCCCCCTCCACTGCTGCGGCACATCGCCTCACTTGGCCTGCTTGGCGCCATGCTCGGCACTGGGGAGCTGGTGTAGAGTGTGTGCTGGAGCCCACCTGGGGAGTGGGCTTGGGGCTGGGTCCCGGGTCCCCCAGTCCCTTCACCTCCTGCTTTCTGTCCGCAGAGATGCCTCCCTGGTGGTGACCACATCAGGAGACCACAAAGCAAAAGTATTTTGTGTCCAGAGACCTGACCGTTAGGGGCTGTAGCTGCTCTGCGTGTGGTGCAGAGTGGGTGCAGGGAGACCCTCCCCCCACCAGCAGAGGCGGTAGGGTGCAGAGGGAGGAGGAGGGAGGGGTTCGGACTACTATCCAACCTTTCCGCTGACTTGCCCCTTCTCTGTCCTTTCCTCTTTAGAGACCCACCCCGCGGGCCCTCCCTCCCATCCCCCTTGCTCGGGCCTGGCGGGTCCTTGGTGGGGTCAGACCTCGTTCTCTTTCACTTTCATTTGCTGGTGTGAGCCATGGGGTGCGTATTTGTATGTGGGGAGTAGGTCTTTGAGGTTCCCGTTCTTTCCCTTCCCAAGTCTCTGGGGATGGAAAGGAGGAAGAGATACTAGTTACAGATTTTAAAAATGTAAATAAAATATACTTCCCAGAGAGTGTCTGCAGATTTTGTGGTGGCTGGGTGCAAAGAGGAAGGAGGGAGAGCTGTGGTAGGGTGAGGCCCCCCAAATCTGGACGTCAGATTGGGTCGGCTCCCCTCTCCGAAGTGGTGGTTTGTTTGCACTGACAATTATACGCCTCTCTAGGGTCAGAATCTCCCTTGGTACGCAGCCAGCTGTAGGTTCTTTCTGTGGTTGGCCCACCTGCGTCTCCCTGGCTGAGATACGGACGAGATAACCACAAACCAGAGCTTTATTCACTCAGGGTGGGTCTGAGGAGCAGGGTGTCTCATCCTGAGATGTGGGGGATGATGCAGAGGGACTTAGTGGCTGAGATGGATGATGCGTCTGCTGGGAGTCCGCAGCAGCCCTCCCCCTAGTTCAAGTCCAGGTGGACACTGCTTTGGCTGCTGGTGTGGTAGGCGGTGCTGGGGCCCGGACTGCCCCAGGAGGCTCTTCCCCTCAGTGCCCGCAGCCACTTGCGAGCGGCTGCCCTCCAGGGGGCTGTGTCTCGCTGATCCCCTAGCCCCATGGCCACAGGTACGGCTGCTGCGCTGGCACTGCCCAGGGAGAGGAGGGACAGCAGAGTCCCAGGCCCCAGCGGGGGTCGCTGCTCATAGGCCAGGACTGACAGGAGCAGGGTGGCCACATAGGGCCCCCAGCACAGCCCGAACAGCAGCGTGGCCCCAGCCTGTGCCCTGGCCTGCCTCCAGGTAAGGGCCCGGGCTAGTGCTGAGGGCGCGTCGCGGCACACTGCCCGCTCCAACCGGCGGATTTCCTGCAGCTGGCGGTGGGCAGCAGCCAACAGACGGGCAGAGAGGAGGGCAGCAGCACCCACGGCAGGTAGCAGGAGCCCGTAGACTTCGAGGTAGAGATACGGGGCTGGGAAGACAGTCTGGGAGCTGCAGTTGGCACCAGGCGTCCAGTGGTTCCACCCCAGAGCAGGCAGGCTGGCAAAGAGCAAGGGGCCAGCCCAGGTGAGGAGCAGGGCCAGCCGAGTGCTACCCTGGGGCCGCAGAGGCCGCAGCACTGCTATGTAGCGCTCCCCGTGCACCAGCAGGAGGTTGGCCAACAGGGAGAGGAAGGAGAAGTTGGGAGCCAAGTAGAGGAGGAGGCAGGACCAGTAGCCCCGGCGGCTCTGGCTCCATAGCCCTGGCAGCATGGGCAGAGCCAACCCTGTGAGCAGCCCAGCCAGCAGCAGGCTCAGGAAGAAGCAGCCGGCAGGAGGGGTGCGCAGGTGCCGGTCCCAGACGATGCCCAGGGCCAGGAACAGGTTGGCAGCGACGATGAGGCTTGCCAGGGCCAGGGAGAGCCCCAGGGTCCCCGTGGGAATGGGGCTGGGCACCTCCCAGGTGCCATTGGGTGTCATTTCTGGCCTCGGGACAGAGGAGGCTTGAGACAGCAGTCGGCGTGCCTGGATAGAGGATGGGGGAGGCCAGAGTTAGGAGGGGTGACTACATGTGGATCTCGGGGTTGCAGACCTGTGGGTTAGAGGTCATGTCCTGTTTGCTAATACACATATTTTCTCAACTACCAAGTAAAAATTCATATAAAGGTTCCATTTTTGGTTTCTCTTGAAAAATAAGGTCTGGCAACACATTTAAGACGTCTTCAAAAAGTTCACGGGGCCCAGCCACTTCCACAAGTACTCTGCAAGGCTGGAAGCCAACCTTAAGTTTGGACCCTGGGTTCGACCTGAAAACATGCTGGGCACCTGGGATCACTGGAGGGCTGGGGAAGGCGATCACCGCAGGCTGCAGCCCTGTTCCGGAAGTGTTCACCTTGCACGCATGCGTTTTCATAAAGTTTATAGGAATGGCATATTAAAAATGTTGAGATTTAGGGGTCAGCAGGTGGTGTGGTTCAGGCACTGGATCCCTACCTGGCTGACCACGGTTCAAGTGCCGGACCTGGGAGCTTGATGGTCACACCATGCGTGTGTGCATGCGTGCTCATGGGGGAATGGAGGAGAAGGGATTGCGGCCTGGCTGTCTACTCTGGGAGGTGATTCCTCACTTTCCCTCTCTCTGTCTGGTCCCTCTCTTGGGTGAGCACATGTGCTCTCTAGCAAAAACCTTTAAAAAAAAAGTAGTAATAATTTTGAGATTTAAAAATAGATTTAAAAATTAAAAAATTCTTGCACCAAAATAAACTTGTACTTTAATTCTGTCTTTCCATGAAGTTTTTGAAGTGTCCTCGTTTGGTAGCAACCAGCTGGAGCTGAGTCCTGACGGCGTGGCCCCTGCCAGCCAGCTTCGCCCATGTCTGTTATCTGTTTAGACTGCAGGGTGGACCCACCCAGTCGCAGAGCGTTCCCCCGCTTCTCCCCTGGCGAGGCTGCCAAGGGAGCCCCGAGACCGGATAGGGGCTGGCTGGTGGGTTGTGGCCTTCTAGGCAGTGATCAGGTGAGGGGCTCCTCAGGGCCAGGTCCCCTGCGTCCCCTCCCCGCACCTGCCCTTGTAGCCCATCACGGCTCACTGAGCAGCCTCGGGTAGGACTTCCAGCCCATAAACTTGACTCGTCCTGTTGTCCTGTCCGCTCCTCGCTAGCAACAGTGCCCTTCCTGGGAACTGCAGGGAGGAGAGGAGGAGCAGGGGGAGGGGGTGCTTGGCAGTGACTGTGGAGATGCTAGTGGCAGGAGAGGACCCCCACACTTCGGGGGGCTGAAGCTGAGCCCAGAGGAGTGGGTGGAGGAGCTGGCAGGCTGGGCCTGCCTCTGCATGGCTCCTATCTGTCCCTGTCCTTCCCCTTCCTTTTGCTCCCCTGTCTCATCCAGTGGCCACATCCTAGGGTCGGGGGAGGGGTCCTGAGTGCTGTGAGAACTCCAGCTTCTGTCAACAGGGGAGCAGCGGTTGCTGGGATCAGAGTCAATAGGAAAGGATTCCTACCTCCCCCTCCTCCAGGCAGGGGTTCAGGGCCTGTGGCCACCTTGGGCTGGGGGAGGGGCTCCCCTTCCCTTCCCAGGCTCCCCCCAACCCACGGACCAGACAAGGCCTCTGACTGTATCTCTGCTGCCTCTCTCCTCCCCTCAGCCATTTCCTCTCCCCCAGTCTCCTCCACTGCCGCCGCCCAGATATCGCTCCTTCTCCAGCGGCCCTCTGGTTTCTGTTCCTCTTTCTCCCACACCACCGACTATAAACCCTGTGAGACTCGGGGGTCCGTGAGGCCAAACCTCGCTGGAGCTTGCTCTGGTGGAGTGATTCCCTCCACTCTGCCACCCCCTGAGTAGCCCCAGGTGTGTCCTGCTGGGGCACTGGCTGAGACCTGCACACCCCATAGGGTCAGGTGGCCCAGGCTGGGCGCATGGCCTCTTCAGGTTGTGGCCCAGGGACTGCGAGGGGACAGGCGGGGGGAGTAGATGCTCACATGCTGCTGCAGACAGGTGCGGCCACCCAGCCTGGGCCCTCTTGAGTGTTAGCGAGGTCCTGCAGCCAGCCCCGTTGGGCTCTAGGCCAAGCCTGGTATTCTAGCCAGAGACTGCATGGTGCCACCCCTCCGTGGGGACAGTGGGTCCGCCTGGCTGGCCTGCCCTGGCTCTGACCCGCCTGGGTTCCTGGAGGGATGGAGAAGCTCAGGGGCTGGGACTCAGCCCCAGCCCCGCCCTGGTGGGTGGGAACCAGCCCAGCCTGAGCCAGCAGCCACCTTCCTCCTGCAGGCTCACTCCCCCTATCCTGTACTAGTGCCTGCAGCCCTGGCCCTGGCCACACCTTGCCACCCAGGGGGTGGCTCCCCACCTCGGCCACTCCAGCTTGGACCTTCTCGGCCTGCTATTGCCCAGCTAACCTGAGAAATTCCAGTTCATGAATAATGATGATTTCGTCCCCTGCCCCCGGCCCCACTTCCTGGCTCAGCTAGTACATTTACTATGTCAGACGGGCCTCGAACCCCTAGAGTGGTGGCAGCTCACAGCACAGGCAGCTCCACCGTAGCCCGTCTGCTGAAGGGTGTGTGGTGCGTGTGAGATGGTGGTAGTGAGGGGTGTTTCGGCGTGAGGGCCTGCGCGGCCCCCGTCCATCGCCTGTTGCCTGTCAGCTTGTTAGGCCAGCCTTGCCTCCCTACCTCTGGACTAGGCCACACCTTAATGACTTGCTGAGCGGCCTCTAGGAGGAGGTACCACTGGCTCTGGGGCTGTGACCTTGGACAGCCAGCACTGGGCCTGTATGCCACTGTAAAAGGGGAGCAAGAACCTCCCCCTGGTGTTGTAGGGCACCCGGTGGGCTAACATATTGAGCTATGCCCCGTCCCGCCCCCAGGTCGTGATATTATTAGATCCAGGGCTGCGACTAAACAGTAATGGCTCTCCCTCCTCAGAGGAGCGAGTTGGGAGTCACAGAGCTGGCTGGGATCTTGTCTGTAGCAGTGTGAACTCGGATAAGTCCCCGAACGCTCTTGCGTAGTTTGCTCACCTGTGAAACAGGGCTCCCAACTGTACTCACCTCGTGAGCCCGAACGAGCTGGGAAGATCCGGGGCACCTCTGCACACTGGCACTCACAGCTCTGACAGACAGGGCGAAGATTCCCAGCCTCCTCTGCACCTGCCCCTTTGAGAAAGCCCTGGGCAAAGGCAGACGGGAGCCTAGGAAAAGCAAGAACGGGACAGGGAGAGGGAAGGGCAAGGTCGCAGTGTGGAGGTCGAGGCGAGGTGCCCTGATTTCCCCCTGGACCAAGAGTGGCTTTGGGGCGCTGGGGAGGAGGGAAAGCCAGCCATACTCCCTCAAGGTGAGGACTGGGCTGGAACGGCAGCAGGAAAGGTAGAGATGAGATGTTAGAAAACACTTCCTGGGGACTGTGCTCCCTGGGGAGACCTGCTGCCAGTCAGGGGGGTCCTGGGGAGGTGGGGCTGCTGTTGGGACAAAAATGGCAAGAGGAAAGTGTCTGGCCACAAAGCCCCCCTGGAGGGAGCTGGTGAGTGGAGGCCCTCGGACCCACACTGCCTGCTGGGGCAGAAGTCAGAGGCTCTGGGAGAGTTCATCCTGGGGTCTGGACAGAGTGGTGTGGGGCCCCGGCATGAGCAGCAGACTGCCAGGAATAAACAGCACTCCTGCTCCCAGCCCTGGCCTCCTCCCCGCGGTTGCAGGATGTCTGTGTTTCTTCTGTGCTGCTCTGTCTAAACACGGCATGTGGGATGACGTGAAGGGGGACGACTCGGGCGGGTGGGAGCTGGGAGCCCGAGTTCTTCCTTAGCAGACCATGTGGTTCCTCTCTGCTCCCCCGTCAAGCCTGGGCTGACTCAGGCCAGAGGTCTTCCTCCACCCCCAGGGGTCGGGGGGTTCTGAGGGTGCAGGCAGTGCTCAGAAGTTCCCTCCAGATGACTGTGCCCTGGCCCGTCCTCCTTCCCGAGGAAGAGCCTGTCGAATCTTCCTGGGCCTTCTTCGTCCACTTCTATTCTTAGACATCTGGTATCTGTTGCCCCCCGCTATCTGGGACTGGCCGGGTGGTAACTAACTGGCCCAATGGAGGCGGCTGGGGTGGAACTTCCTGGAACCTTGATTGGCCTCCATCAGCCTCCGTTCACACTCCTCAAAGGCAAGAGCGGGTGCGCCCAGTAGATCCTCTGAAGGGCTCTGGGCATAATCCTTTGACCTGGAGACTGGTCAGGATCCTGACCTCGGGAAGTCCTAAAGTCACTGGCAGAAAGCTGGTCCTCCTGTTATGTCTAAGTGGCCAGACGCTCCATGTCTGGGATGGCCGCTTCAGTCAGACACCCACTCTAGCAGCCAGAAATGGCAGTGCTTTCAGCGATCCCCAGAAGGGGGCAGCATTGCTAGAACCACCTCCCGAGTAGACCCAGGCTGGAGGCTGAGCCCCAGCAGGGGTTGGGTCAGGACTAGGCTGAATGAGATCTGAATGAGATCGCAGGGAACTGAATGACAGCTGCCAACTTCCGCTCCCAGGAAGGCTGTGCAGGGCTAAGGAGGGCTGTTTCCTTTTCCTGGCTTCAATGTGCTCCTCAGGCCCTACTCTTCCATTTCCTGTTAGTCTTACTTCCTTTCCTACCAAGCTCCTAGTTCTCAGCTTGCCCAGATCCTGCTTATCCAGACACGGAGAGTCCCACCCTCCTCACCTGTCCTCCGCCACCGGAGCAGGGAGAATACCAAAATACCAATCATCTTGGAGAGGGCTGGAAAACTCCAAGAACAGAAGGAAGCTTGGCTTCTGGTGGACTTTGTTTCTCCAGTTGCCTTGTCACTTCCCTCAGAACAAAGGGAACTAAGACCGATTAAATGGCATTATAAATTGCAGTGAAAGATTCATCTGTTCTTTATCATTAAAAAACCCTGGGGGGCGGGGGCTGGCAGGTGGCGAATCCCAAACCTGGTGGCTATTCTCTGACTTTCCTTTTCTATAGCTGTATCTATCTTTCTTTTTTTTAAAGAGGATTTTGCTATAGGGCGTGTGCGCTTGCCAGAAAGAGAGAGACAGAGAGACAGAAAACAAGAAATCACTCCCCTGGGGGATGGCCACGCCACAATCCCTTCTCCTCCATTCCCCTCGGGATCTTAGGCATGCATGCACACATGCCCAGTGTGAGTTTAAGCCACCAGGTCTGGGACTCGAACCGTGGTCGACTATATGGGAGTCCAGCAACATAGCCATTGTGCCAGCTGCTGGTCCCTATCTGTATCTATCTATCTATCCATTCATCTATCTATCTATCTATCTATCTAATCTATCTCTATCAATCATCTATATATCTATATCATCTATCTATATTTAATTTGACCAGAGAGGGACAGAGCGAGAGTGAGAGCGAGAGTGAGAGAAAAAGTGAAAAAGCAAGCTGCTAGGTCCGAGACTTGAATCATGGTCAGCCATGTGGGAGTCCAGCACCCTTAATCACCACGTCACCTGCCGGCCCGTTTTTTTTTTTTTTTTTTAACAGAGAGATTTCTGCTATTGTGCATGTGCACTTGGTAGAGTGACAGAGACAGAAAGTGAGAAATCACCCCCCGAGGGGATGGCAACTCTGTATTCCCTTCTCCTCGTCTCCTCTAGAATTTTGGGCACACACACACATGTGCCTGGCATATTTTAAGCTGCTGGGTCTGGGCCTTGGACCGCGGTCAACTATGTGGGAGGCTATTATGCTATCAGCGGGTCCCCAAATAAATAATTCTTTTTTTTTTTGAGAGGGTTTTGCTATAGGGTGCGTGTGCTTGCCAGACAGACAAGAGACAGCCCGAGACAGAAAGCAAGAAATCCCCCCCCCCAGTGGGGATGGCTATGCCGCAATTCCTTCTCCTCCATTCTCCTCTCGGGATCTTGGGCCCACACGCACACGTGCCTGGTGTGAGATTTTTAAGCCACCGGGTCTGGGACGCGAACCGCAGTCGACTACATGGGAATCCAGCGACATAGCCATTACGCTAACTGCTGGTCCCAATAAATAATTCTTAAAAACAAACAAAAACCCTGTAAGATAGGTGGTGTTATGTCCAACCAAAGACAATACCACTAGGGCTGACTAAGCTGGCATCACAGTTGGAAGGGGTGGGGTGGAACCTTGACTCAACCTACGCTGTCCCAGAAACCTTGCTAAGAATCTCCGTGGCTCATGTCTAAGGTGCCCCTTTGGGCGGGGGGGATGGTGGGGCTGGTGAGCCAATCCGCATCACCAATGATCCCAGCCCACACCCCCGTCACTTGCTCCTCATCCTGATACATTCCTCCTCCTGCAGTCTAATGGACTTGACTGAAGTTACAGTGGGCCTTTCTGTCCACCAAGAGGAGTTTTTTGAAAAAAACACATGTAGGGCACATGTGTTTGCTGGAGAGTAAGTGGGAGAATGCACCCCTCTGGGGAATGGCCACCCGCAATCTCTTCTCCACTTTCCTCTTGGGATTTTGGGCATTTACATATGTGCCTACTTATGTGCCTGGTGTGCTTTTTCTTTTTTGAAAGATTTCTGCCTGAGAGAGCATGTGTTTGCTGGAGAGATACAGTGAGAGGGACAGTGAGAAGTTGCCCTGGATGGCCATGCTGTAATCCCATCTCTTCCATTTTCCTGGGATCTGGGCCACACATGCACCTGGTATGAGTTTCAAGCCACCGGGTCCATGACTTGAACCACGGTCAGCCAAGTGGGAGTTCAGCAACATAACCACTATCCCATCTGCTGGTTCCCTGGTGTGTGTTTTTCAAGCCGGCAGGTCTGGGACTGAAACCAGTTGGCCATGTGGGATTCAGCTGCCTTAACCACCACACCACCTGGCTGGCCCAGGAGGGTCTATCTGAATAGGAATTTAACCGGCATGGATTTTTAATGCTGACAAAGCAGCCTGGAATTAAGACATTTCTGTAGAATTTACTGTTAAAAAAAAACACTGAATGCCTTTGTCCTATTTTTTTCCTTTCTCTTTAATATTTATTTAATTACATTTGTTAATATTTTTAAATTTTTTTGGGGGGAGAGGGGTTTTTGCTATAGCATGTGTGTGCTCACCAGACAGACAGAGTGACAGAAAGCAAAAGATCACCCCCTGGGGGGTATGGCCACGCTGCAATCCCTTCTCCTCCATTCTCCTCTCAGGATCTTGGGCATACATGCACACACACCTGGCAT